CTATGATAAAGACATGGAAACAAAATGAGCGTTCATACATTGTGGAATGGTTGAACAAATTATAGTGGAAGAAGGTAATGGAATATTATATTACAAGAAATCATGGGAGCAGCTAGGTGGCACAGTGGTTAGAGCACTAGCCCAGAAGTCAGGAGGGCCTGAGTTCAAATCTAGCCTCAGACCAAACACTTGATACTTACTAGCTGTGTGACCCTGGGCAAGTCACTTAACCCCAATTGCCTAAAAAGAAAAGAAAAGAAATCATGAAAAAATATTCAGAGAATCCTCTAAAGACTTGTAAGAAATTGTAGGAGATAACTGAACAGAACTATGAGAATAATTTATAAAATGATTAAAATAACATAAAGGCCAACTTTATGAAAGCCAAATCTAAACGATGCAATGACCGCTTGTGACTGATGGTGAAGCTTGTTACCACCCCTACCAGAGAAGTGATGGCTTAGGGGTGCAAAATAGCATGTAGATTTCTAGACATGGCCAATGTATGGATTTGTTTTATTGGATAATATTCATTGGTCCCAAGGGAAAGCTTCTAGTGGAGTGGAGTTGTAGAAGGGGAGTTGGTTAGCAGTGATAATGATGAAAAAAAAAAAGGAATGAAAGAAAAAACAGCATCAATAAAATATTAAAAAACACAGAGGGATCAAATGTTCATATGGGTGAGCAAACAGGGCATTTTTTTTACTATATTGTTAGTTTTAGCATACACAAGTTCACCTCTTTTTGGGGGGGTGGTAAGATAACCGGGTTTAAATGACTTGCCCAAGGTCACACAGCTAGTAAGTGTCAAGTGTCTGAGGCTGGATTTGAACTCAAGTCCTCCTGACTCCAAGGCCAGCACTTTATCCACTGTGCCATCTAGCTGCCTCTGGGAGTTCATGCTTCATTGATGCAATAGCGTTAGCTCAGTGGAGAGAGCGCTGAGCCTGAAGTCAGTAAGACCTGAGTTCAGATATGGCCTCAGATATTTACTAGCTGTGAGATCCTGGGCAAGTCACTTTATCTCTGTCTGTCTCAATTTCCTCCTTTATAAAATGGGAGTAATAATAGCATCTGCCTCCCAGGGTTGTTGTGAGAATTTAAAAAAATGATGACATTTGTAAAGCACTCTGCCTACCTTAAAAACTATATAAATTTAGCTATTATTATTGTGATTATACCATATAATCCTCTCAGTTCTTTGCATGTTGAAATATTTTTGAATATTGAAATATTTATGTTGATTGATGTTTTTCAATTTCATAATAAAAAATAAAACTTTTGAAAAAGGAAGAAAAGTTACCTGTAATGATAAAATTACAAGTATATTTTTAAAAATCATTAATAGGAAGATAGACTTAATTTGAAAAAGGTTAAAACTAAAAAGTATCATTATGGAATAAGTGTTATAAATATACTTATGTAGTATTTGAAAGGACAGTTAAGTAGTGCAGTGGATAGAGTGTCGGGTCTGAAATCAGGAAGACTCATCTTCCTGAGTTCAAATCTGACCTCAGATACTTACTAGCTGTGTGACCCTGGGTAAGTCACTTAACCCTGCTTACCTCAGTTATTTATCTGTAAAATGAGCTGGAGAAGGAAATCTCAAACAATTCCAAGTATCTTTGCAAAGAAAACCCCAAAGTGGGTCATGGAGAGTTGGATGTGACTGCAAGTGTTTGAAAAAATATTTTCAGGCCACTGTTTTCAAAAAAAGTTCTATGTAATCCCTGTGCCAGTGACTCTCATGGTATAATGTAATAATCTCTGACTCAGGAGTCATAGACCATGGGTTCAAATCTCTACTTCTTACTACCTAAGTGACCTCATGCAAGTCATTAACCTCCCTGGGACTTAGATCTTTCAACTGAAAATGAGAAGGTTGAACCAGATCACTTCTGAGATAACTTTCAGCCTTATATCTTCACCTAAGGAGGTTGGACATTATAGACTCTCCTCTTTTGATCCTAACATCCTAAAAGTCCATTTCATATCCTATGAAGGGTCTAGGTATGCCTCGAAGAACTTTCTCACTTTCTGGGCCCAGAGCACACACTCAGGAAACATGTGGAAATGGTTCCCTAAACTCCCATAAGCCCCTGCCCTCCACCTCCCACCAAGTATGCCGAGATGAATTACTCAACATGCATGCTATGCACAATATCACAATAGAAAGGTTTATTTAAAGAAGAATAAAGTAAAAAACAGGTCCATAGAAACATAGATATCGAACTGGAAAGGTCCTTAGATGTCATTGAATCCAACCATTTCATTTTACAAATGAGGTACATGGGACTCAGAGAGTTTAAGTGACTTGCCCAGGGTCCCACAGCTTTAACTGCTTGAGGTAGGAGTCAAAGGCCCTTGAATGAGCAACCATTAGTACAAAAGATGCATATGAATTCCCAGAGTCACTTAGAATACTGAATATGAAGGCTTTCTTGACAGAGGCTTCCCTCATCTTATTTTCATTTGGCTCACTGATCTGGACCAGTCAAGAAGGGAGAGGGGCCTCTCTCTCTCTCTCTCTCTCTCTCTCTCTCTCTCTCTCTCTCTCTCTCTCTCTCTCTCTCTCTCTCTCTATTCTCTCTCACTCCCTCTTACACATACAAATGGATATCTCTCTTTCTGTCTCTGTGTGTTTGTCCCTCTTCCTTTCTCCTCTCTGATCTAAATAAAATTACATACACTTGCTTTTGTGATTTGGTTAAGAGAAAAGTTTTCTAATACTTAACCATTTCCTCAGTAATATCTGATGTAAGATCAGGGCTGATTGAGTAAATCAATCAAGTTATCCCACCCCATTTAAAGCAAGACATACATTGCTATGCCCTGGCACCTTTACCACATGCAAAGTTATCACAATCAATCCATCAGAGATTTTAGACCGAGTAAGGAAAACATCCTTGATCAATTGGAATTAAGTTGTGAGCTTTTATAAAGCCAGCAGGAGAGTTCAAAACTCAAGGTGTTTGACCAAGCAAAGAGGAGAGAGAGCATTCTAACTAAACTCATGAGAAGAAATCAATTGGGATTGGGGAGTGGAGAGGAAGGATCTCTCATAGTCCAATACTCCAGACCATCTGTGATATCATCAATTTGAGTATTCATTTCCTCCAGTGATACATATCACAACCTCATTGTTGTTCAGTCATTCACAACTATTCATGACTCCTTTTGAGGTTTTCTTGGCAAAGATACTGGAGTGGTTTGCATTTCCTCCTCCAGCTCATTTTACAGATGAGTAAACTGAGGCAAACAGGGTTAAGTGACTTGCCCAAGGTCACATGGCTAGTAAGTGTCAGAGGCCATATTTGAATTCATGCAGATGAGTCTTCCTGACTCCAGGCCCTGTAGTCTATCCACTCTACCACCTAGTTGCTTTCCCATCCTGTTTGACCTTCATCCATTTCCTCAAATAGATTTCCTTCAGGGACCCCCCTAACATACTGATGAGCTTCCTTTCATCCTTCTGACACCATGAGGACACCAACAGAGTACACTGGCCATCTAGTGAGTGCCTCCATCTTTCTTCATTCCTGACCCATCTCTTTTTTTTTCCCAATTATACATCTCTCTGATAACATCCCTTAAACCACTTCTTCGTAACTCTTTTCTTTGTGATACATTTCAGCCTATGCATGCTCCTCATTCTCTTCTTCATTGCATTTGGGATGATTCTCAACTTCATTTCTTCAGAAATCATAGTCCTATGACTACCATAATGGAAAATAAATTTTGTATATAGGACTCTTCTTGTGCTCCTTTCTTTAAATACTCAGAGCTGCTTCCTTTGTACATACTTCACTATGTCTTCCTTTATCCTTCTCAATTCTACAAGAAGGACACATGCACATTTTGGGAGGCACTCACCTTGCCCATCCCTCATCTTAGCATTTGAGGTGCTTATTACTTATTCTTTCTTTCTTTCACATGAAAAGCAGCCAGTTTCAAAGACAGCCTTTCTAATTTAGAATCTGCTTTAAATTCAATTAAGTGTCAAAACTAGGTGGTGAGAGAGAACTCATTGTCAGCATCCAGGTTACCACGGATATTTGAGGAACAGAAAACAGTTTTCTCAATAGAGATCTGTTGAAAAAATATAAATGGCCAGAACATACAGTTATATGATTTGTTTTCATATTGTGACTATGGTTATTGACTTGTTATCCTCTTCTACCTTTGGCTGAATTTTGGCCTCAAACATAATATTCCCAAAGACAAAGAGACAAGAAAATAAATGTAATAGTAAAATCATTGATGTTTTTATTTCATTCACGTATTGGCAACCAAAGCATTCCAAATAGGCCATCATTTCTATCCATTAGTGCTATTGATTATGGCTTTCCACTTCAGGGAAAACTTTTTTACTGTAGATTTGAAAGGACTGAAAGGATGATCTAGGTGGTACCTAATTCCTTCCTTTGCAAATGCCCTTCTAATGGCTACTCAGAGAGCCTTAAAGTCATTTATCTATAAGAACATCTTGTCAAAATATAGTACGAGAATCTGTAGGGAAATGGAAAGAAAAGGAATTTACAGTTGGAGAATCTGGGTTTGAGTTCTGGCTATTTTATTTACTATGGCTATCAGCTACGTAACCTTGGGCAAATCACTTAACTTTTCTGACCCTCAACATCTTTGGCTGTAAAATGAGAAGGTTGTACTAGATGATTCCTAAAGGTCCTTCTAACTCCAAATCTGTTATCTCTAAGGAGACTTTTTCCAGCACACAACAGCCAAAGAATTCTTTTAGGTGAATGAATAAGCTGATCCTCTTGGACCACAGTCTGCTGCTGGTATTTCATAACTCCCCTCAAAATAAAGAGTTTCAATGAGTCCTCATTTTGGAAAGTTGCATCTACGTAATGCCTCAGTCTTTGTTTGGTTCAGTGACCTTTAGATGAAATATGGTAAATTTGTATTGAGTAGATGTTGAATAGTTATTCCATTGGATGCTGATTTTAATAAGTACTGATCTTCAATGCATTCTGTTATAGGCTGAATATTTCTATGAATTCTTATCTTTACGGTCTCTGGATAAAGGCATCATGGATGACCCCACTGTCAACATCCCGTTGCTTGGGACAGTTCCCCACAAGGCATCAGGTTGGTAGTTTTCAACTTTGGGAAGGCTATTGTGAAAATAATGAAATGCAGTTTCATGTGTTAAAGTTTATTTTAAATGCAATTGCTCTTGTGATGACTAGAGAATATAGGGCCTTATAGAGAATAAGGGCTGTAAGCCACTTGGCATAGGTAAAATGGATCAGAGATATAGAACTAGAGGAAACTTTCATGCCATCAGTTCAAGCTTTTCATTTTACAGATGGAGAAACTGAGTTCTAGAGAAAATGACTTGCCTTTAGGCACCTAGCTAGTGATGGGGGGAGGGGTGGGGAGAGCATTTGAACCAATCTCTTCCAATTCCAGGACTAGAATCCTATCGGCAATATCATCTTGTTTCTCATTTTATCTCAAGCCCATTAGGCAAAAAGAGAATGATAGAAGTGAACAAACAAAAGATTTATAGCTTCCTAGAAATTTAAGATTACTAATCACATGATCTGGAGCTTCTTAATGCTTTTTTGATTTTTTTTGGCTATTAGGTTTTTACATAGGATGTCCCAAAAGTCTTAGTGCAGGCTTAAGTTATTACAACTTCAGACTGCAGTAAGATATTAAAACTTAAGAATGTGCTAACACTCTTGGAAGACTCTATATACAACCAATAGAAACAAATTAATCTGGTAGGGGTAAATTCATAAGGGACATGGGGAATAAAGGAGCTCTTGGGGTCAGCTAAGGAAGGTTTTCCTGAGGAGAGTTTTAAATAAGGCTTTGAAGAAGAGGAGAGATAAGGAATGATAGAAAAGAGAGGGCTACATTCTTCATCTAATGAATTGTGCTTTCCGAAGGACCAACATTTTCTATCCTAGTTAGTTCCAGTCTAAACCACTTGAGTTTTGAGAGGATCTTAAGCAGAAACATACTTTTTCCTGGCCACATCTTGAAAATACTACAGAGCCGTCTTTTTTATTCCACCCAGTTTTTCAGAGATAGGAAAAAGTAGATCAAATTGACTGAGAATCATTTCCTGGGAAGCATGGCTCCATGAAGGCATGCTAGGGTTTCTTGGCTGTCTTACTAGTCAATTTCTGACCCATGAAGAAAATTTAAATAACACTTATACTCCTGAAAGCAGAGATGACTGAATTAACACCTAGTTGGCAAGAATACCCCCGGGGCATTCCTTTCTGGTCCAGCCTACCTCTGCTCTCTATACCCCCAGTAGCTTGCCCCTCAAAAGTGATCTCAAGGGAGTCCATGGAAAAATGCCTTGGGGTCTGAATTATTTGCCCAAGGTCTTTTATTCCCACCACCTTTCAACTGATTTTTCTTTAAATAGATGATTTTTTTTTAAATTAACATTTTCATATTGTTCATCCCAGGCAGAGTGAATAAAGTACTGGATTTGGACTCTCTGGGCCTCAGTTTCCTGATCTGTAAAATAAAGGAGTCAGCATCTATAGTCCCTTCTAGATCCAAATTTATGATCCCGGGTACCACTATTGCAATGAGGTGGTACAGCGGACAGAACACTAGACCTGGAGTCAGGAAGGCTTGAGTTCAAATCCAGCCTCAGATACTAGCTGTATGACCCTGGGCAAATCATTTGATCCTGTTTGCCTCAGTTTCCTCATCTGTAAAAAGAGCTGTTTATGTTGTAAGGACATGACTCAAACAAGATAAAAGTGTCATGTGAATGCAGGACATAATATTCAGGTCAGAAGGGACTTTAGGGAGTTTCAGGGAGTCTGTACCTGATCAGCAGCCATTTGACCTCCACCTAAAAACCCTCGGTTATGTGGAACTCGTTGGTTATTTACTGAGACAATTTTAACAGAAAGTTGGGGCAGCACCCTGTAGTGTGGAAAAAAACTTGGAATCAGGTGTACTGGGTTCAAATTTCTTGTATTTCTGTGTCTATCAGTCAGGTCTGTGTCTAAGATAGCTAAATTACATGCTGAATTTCTAAACTTGTTCTCAAAGGGATAATATTAATAATATTCACAGATTTTGAGCAGTTACAGGATAATAGGTTTAGAGCTGGTCATCTAGTCATCCTCCTAATTATACAGATGAGGAAACTGAGGCATAGAGATACTAAATAAATCCCCTCAAGGTCAGAAGTAGTAAGCGGCAATAGAATTTAAGCTTAGGGAGAAGAGTGCTTTTATTTTTAACTTTGTATCCACAGTACCTAGTATAGTGTCTTGAGCATAGGGGTGGTTTGGTTTTTTTTTTTTTTTGGTTGTCTGGGGGAAGGAGTCTATGATTTTAAGCAGAGCAGGGAAATTCTAAGTATGGAAGCATACCCTTCTTCCTCCTGAACATATCGGCAACTTATAGTCACTTACAGTCTTAGAGTTACGTCTCGTGTCTTATATCACTTAGAATCTTAGAGTTCACTGAGGTACAGAGCTATTAAGTGATTTGCCCATAGTCAGGTCACTATGTATCTAGAGGCAGTCTGGAACTCAAATGTTCCTAACTCTAAAGATAGCCCTCTACCTACTAGGGATGAATATTTGTAGAATTTGTAGAATAGTTGAGACTATTTGAATAGTATTTATAGTTTCTATTCCATTTTATTCTGTTATATATATTATATTGTAATATAGTATCGAATAGTATCAAATAGATTTTGAATGTATTTGGATCAGACATAAATTCCAAGGCATCCAGGTCTTTATAATGAAGAGAATTTATGCTTCTTTGAATGAGATGAAGGTAGACACCCCAAGCGTTTGAGAGGGGAGTAGGGGAGAGAATAACTGGTTGAGGGACTCATTCTGATTCCCTTTGAAGTGATGTCTAGGAACAGGTTTGGAGGTTTCTTGGTCAGATTTAGGACTCCTTCACAGAAATGCAGGTGCAAGGGTTTTATTGGGACCTTATCCCATTCCCCAGAGACTGTAATTGGTGCAGGCCAGTTATTCATTAGCCTAATTAGCACAGACTCCATAGTGGAAGCATGTGTAGGTGGACTGAATTATTAAAAAGTAACCAAGTAAGTGTGTCTGCACTCTTAAACATCCAGGTAGCTTTCATTATTCTGCTCAGAACAAAGCACGTGTGCTCTTTTATATCCTCAAAGTGTTTATGTCCTTTAAAAAAAAAAGTCCCATAGAATCTTCTATGCCTAAACCCCTGCACTACAGAAACTCTTGATCTTTAACAATTCCTGAAGGGTCTGCTTTCTGGCATCTGAAAAGAACAAAAACAGGAACTGCAAACTGCAGGGTCGTTTCAGTAAAATTATTCCATTGTATAAGAAAAAAAAAAGATTTATGTAAAAGTAGGGCCGTCCCTCTTTGGGCACTGTCTCTGTCACCCTGGGAAGCCAACAGAGTACCAGATTCTAAACTGAAGGTTTATGAAAACCTTTTGAAGGTTTATAAGAACCTTTTCAACAATACTTACTATGGTCCCCACTTCGGTCTACTAGGTCCATAATAAAATGAATAGAGAGTGGAAGCTTATGGTGACCCCACAGTACAAAGAAAGATGTATAAAACCTCTCTGCGAAGCTGCATGATAAGTGAAGGGCTCTGCAGAAGGTCATAGCTGATACAAGTGTTGAAGCAGGAAACCAGTTGTAGACAAGCCAAGAGGTTTAGATTAGGTAGGATGGCTAGGTGGTGAAGTGGGTAGAGCAATGGGATTGGAATCAGGAAGACTCATCATCCTGAGTTCAAATCCAGCTTCAGATACTTACTGTGTGACCCTGGGTAAGTCACTTAATTCTGCCTCACTTTCCTCATCTGTAAAATGAGAAGGAAAGGGCAAACCACTCCAGTATCTTTGCCAAGAAGACCCCAAATGGGGTCAGAAAGAATTGGACACAACTCTCTGATTCCATGCTCAGCACCCTATCCACTACTATTTCAAATAAGATAAATGAATGTGGAAGTTCTTACAACTATAATGCATACTTTACAATTTTTTGGTACATACTCCCTCAGATGAAGGAGGTGGTAACAACCTGCCTCCCCACTCTACCCCTCACCCCATAAAGTGGCTGAATAAATATCATCCTCAGTGGATGAGTTCTAAACTTATCCTAAATCTCATTCTCGGAGAAAAGATACATAATCCAATACTAGGCTAGTACTTGAAGCCTTTTTGGCTTGGAAGGACCAATCAAGAATTTTGCTATGCCAGAATAGTCTTCAAGAGCCTTGGTTACCTCTATTCTACTCAACAAATATTTATTAAGGACTTATGATGAGTAAGACACAGACTGCAATAACTATGAAAAACAGTCCCTCATTCAAGGGACCTTCTGGTGGAAAATATAACGTGTAAATGGGATGGGAATAGGGGTATAGAGCCTGGATAACATAACTTGAGGAGCAATGCTCTAATACTAGGGCAATGAGGGAAAGTTCCCAGTTCTGGGGTTACTTTGAAGGTTTTTTGAAGGAAGCAAGTCACTTAACCCTGCTTGCCTTGTTTCTTCAAATGAGCTGGAGAAGGAAATGGCAAACCACTCCAATGTCTTTGCCAAGAAAACCCCAAATGGGATTATGAAGAGGCTGACACGACTCAAAAACAACTCAACATAAACAACCAAAACAATAATTTTTTGAGAAACAAAGCAAAACCAGTCATTCTAATGAAATCCATGCTTTATAACCTAACTGGGCCCTTCATCGTGCCTGACAATAATTGCATTCCCCTTTAGCAGACTTTATTACATCTCCCCACACACAGACACTAGGAGAAATCTCAGCTCAACTTAGTGCAACTCAATCCAACTCAACCTAATTCAATTCAGCAGTGCAGGAGCTCAAAGTGTCATGCGACTGTCGAGGAATCTTAGGCTACACTGAGAAAGCCAGAGTTTCTAGGACTAGTGAGGTGATAAATTCCACAGCACTCTCCCCTGGTCACTCTGCATTAGTAATGTTCTGTTCTGTCCTGGGTGTCACATTAGAGAAAGAACATTGACAAGCTGCAGAGTTTCAAGGGGAGGAAAAGTGATAACATGCGACATTTTTTTGACAGAACACGGAGATAGTCAGCCTAGGGAAAACTTGGGG